AGTGGCTAACGAACGGGATCAGAGACGGTCTTGGTAGGTGTGCGGTGCTGTGCATGCTTGCCAAATCCCGAGGGTGCCGATACCAGTTAATGTCAAATGCCTCTTTTGTCGCATCACTAGTATACCTCAAACGACACAACAGGGTTGTTGTAAATTTTAAATGTTTTTCACCATAGCTGTAAAAATCTAAATTTATTAAACTTAAAAGTCATTTGTTTTCTAACTAATTTGTTTTAAGACCAGGTGTCCACGGAAATTCCCAAAATTTACAACTTTTAGTCACTTTCATTGAACTGGAAAAATTTCTCTCTTTATTACATCTAATATTACGAAGAAATCAGTCCACACTGTACTCGGTTAAGCTTTTGTTTAAGTAAAATTCCGGCTCTTTCAGCAGGGTTTTATTCGTATCCCCACTTCCCTAATCACTTAATTATTTAACTACTTCTTAAGTAGAAATAAGTTGAAACCAGTTACTTTGTACTCAAATATTTGTAGTCTCGGGAAAAAATTGGAAAGACAAATTTTTATGACACCAGATACATAAATTGTAAATTTAAGAAATATAAATTTTAGAGCTTTTTCTGTACCTCTTGCATCTCTCATTCATTAAATTTAGTTGTAAATATGCTACTAAAGTAACAGTTAATTTTTTAACATTATACAAAAATTGTACATGTTTTTTTCTACATCCCTTATAGATGGGACATACGAAATCGTAATATCACCGGTTTAACATTGAAATCTGTGAGTAATATAAAATCGGAAAGCGGAATAAAAATATCAAATATTTTAATGGATTTTTTTAACTCCTGTCAACTACATAGAACTGTCATAAAAACATACCAGTAAATTCTTATCAGTTGGGTTAAGTTATAAATCTACTTACGATTCATGTAATTGGGCGAGGGCAGCCAAATATCTAGCAGGCAGGCGGCTAACAGCCCAGAACCGGTCCTGGATAGAATTGAATGCGGTATACGTGTAGCATCCATCCAAGGTCCTAGGCTTCACCAGCTAAACTGGGTGAGGTTGGGGCTCTGTAAAGTGCATGAGGGAATCTGGCTTTTTGGATGCTGACAATACAGCGCTTCCACTCCGCCACTAATATTCGAATATACAATAGCAATTTTTTTTTTTCACATGTAGTATAGAAATTTGTAATAAGATACATAATGCGGATATAATAAAATATTGTGCGATTATTTTCATATAATTAAAATTAATATGTATTTTCTAAAAATCAATAATTGAAAAACAGTGGCATGTCGTCATTGGAAGCGGTGTATCCACTCCTCCCTTGTATTTTCTAAAAATAAATACATATTAATTTTAATTATATGAAAATAAATCGCACAATATTTTATTATAACCGCATTATGTATCTTATTACAAATTTCTATACTACACGTGAAAAAAAAAAGATAAGATTGCTATTGTATATTCAAATATTAGTGGCAGAGTGGAAGCACTGTATTGTCAGCATCCAAAAAGCCAGATTCGCGCATGTGCTTTACAGAACACCAATCTCACCCAGTTTAGCTGGTGAAGCCTAAGACCTTGGATGAATGCTACACGTATACCTTATTCAATTCTATCCAGGACCAGTTCCGGGCTGTTAGCCGCCTGCCTGCTAGATATTTGGCCGCCCTCACCCAATTACATGAATCACGNAATCTGGCTTTTTGGATGCTGACAATACAGTGCTTCCACTCTGCCACTAATATTTGAATATACAATAGCAATCTTATCTATTTTTTTTCACGTGTAGTATAGAAATTTGTAATAAGATACATAATGCGGTTATAATAAAATATTGTGCGATTTATTTTCATATAATTAAAATTAATATGTATTTATTTTTAGAAAATACAAGGGAGGAGTGGATACACCGCTTCCAATGACGACATGCCACTGTTTTTCAATATTCATTTATTGCACTGTTTAGGAAAAACTAATCATTTGAGATTTTATAAAAATTTTTGTGATATTATATAAAATCACAATAAACATTAGAAACATGCAAAAAGCAAAAGTATTAAAATTAATATAAAAACACTAACAAGTTTAAAACAGTTAATTTTCTTAGACATTAAAATTTCACTTGCAGAGTGCAGATATTTTTGAATTTAAGCTGTAAAATTTATTTTACTAATGTAAAATATAAAATATTTTCTATAATTTTTTGGATCAATAATTTACTGAAATTTTACCTCATTTCTCTTCAAACAGATAATTTTAACTTTGAATTAAGATGAATGAAAATTCCAGGAGTCCCAGCACTAGTATTTCTTCTGTGGGAAATGCTGCAGAAACAGCTATTCAAAAACTCCATGATAGATCTGCAGTATTTGGTTCTAAAACATCATTTGTAAGTATCATCATTGAATTTTTTATAGTCCTAATATGATTGATTAAAATTTCTTAAATACTCTTCTTTTTTAAATATTGAAGATGGTTTGCTCAGTTAAGCTACTACAATTGTGTAGTGACAATGAAAAATTTCATTCAAATATTTGTAAATGAAATAAATAACCAGGAATCTCATTTTACATTGGAGGGAATAGAATTTTTTTTCTCATGGATATCCCTGTATTTCATTTCTTAAGCTGATTTTTAAAAACTTCATTTTGAAGAGAACAAGTAAGTAAAATCATGAAGAGTGAATTTTATTTACTTGTACTTATTAGTATTTTATTTTTCTTATTGGACTGTGGTAAGTTGTAAATTTAACTGACTACATTTGGGCAATGAATAATGAAATAATTTATACAACTACTATTTATGTTTTTTGTAAAATATTTTCTAGCATTTTTCTTTTATTTAAACTTTTTATTGCTTCATCTGCTGATGTAAATATTTTTAACTTTATTTGTCAATTGTTGAATATCATCTTCATATTATATTATCATATTAATTGATCACATTAATGTTAATTCTCATCCAAAATATGATGAAATTGTTAAAAATGTTGGATTTTATTTAATATTCAATTCAATTCAAGTTTATTAGTGTAATTTGGAAAAAATTCCAGTACTTGGCAGAGAACAAAAAGAATTATCAAAACAATTGGTATAACAACTTAGGATCAAATTGGAAAGTTATGGTTTGTCTCATTTACTATTTTACAGTACAGAAACAGACTGGAATTACGGAACTTCTTTTTTGGTGGAGAATATGTATAATAATTCAATTGATCGTGAGATGAAAAGTTTACAAGAGTCAAAATTTCACCCATGGTATATAGTTAATTTAAATTTTCCTCCAGCAAATAATTATATTCATTATAAAATACCATTTGGAATGAAAAGATTTTATATGCAGATCAGACTAAACAATTTTTATATTATAGTTGAAGGGAATTATTTGGATATCAGGAATAAACAATGTAGGCTGTGTAATGACCAAATTTCTCTATATCATATAATTAGTTTGTGCAAGGGTTGCTCCAAACTTAGAGAACAGACTGGTATTTCCACCTTGTCAGCAATCAAATCTATGCAAGAATACTACCAAAAAATATTTCAGATGGGTCCAGTTATGATTACCAGAATATATCAGTTCTTTATTTAATATATTAAAACGGTTGAGAGCCTTAATGAATGATTTATAGATTTACTTTTATTGTTGTTCGTACTTCTATCCAATATTATGTCACTTGATTAAATGTATTAAATGTATGAATAGAAGATAATTTACCTAATAATTATTTATTTGTCGGAAGATATATTATATATTCTCTAATATTTGTAACCCAATGTACCCCTTGTAACTGGAATTTTTTTTCCAAATTACGCTAATAAACTTGAATTGAAGTTTTATTTAATATGGTTGAATTAGTATTTTTACTTTTGAATACATCAACTGATTAGATATTTATAATTTTACCGCTTAAATGATTTTCTAAGACTCACCAAACTGTTTTATTGGGTTGCAATTTGAAAAAAATTGTATACCTATAAATTCTCACTGTTGACCATCTGTGTGTCTTTCCTTAATCTCTAGAATTGAGTTAGATAGATGATATCCAAGACCAGATATGAAAAGCTTAGGGGCAAGAGGCCCCAATTAACTATACAGTAATACCTTGGTTTACATTGATTTTTTTTGCAAAAAATTTCTCTCTGATTTCATTAGTGTACCCATGTAACTTCCTGCTAATTTTGTGAAAACATAGGTCAATCCATGTGTTTTCCTGCTCAATGTGTCATTGTTTCTTGTTGTGTGAGCATTACCCCATGCATCTAGCCAAACAATTCCATTGCTTTCCTTTTAGCTCCATCTTGGGACCAAAGAAAGTTTTCAGAGCCAGCAACCCTTCAAATGCCATGTTAAATGTTTATTTATTCTTTACATTAGTCTTTTATATTCATTTCTTATTGTTTCTAGTGTTACAACACACTATTCATTCTCTGTAAAATGAATTTTGGTATGTATTTTGGAGTGTCTAGAATGAATTAATTGGATTTATATTGATTCATATGGAAATAAATGCCTCGGTTTCGGATTTTGCCGCTTCTTTTTGGGCGGATTATCAATGAAAACCAAGGTATTGCTGTATATGAATATCCAAAGCAATGGATATTCATATACAGCATGTTATTTCAATTCAAAACTTCCCCTGAAAGCAGCTAATAGATGCACAGCACAATTCCATTGCTAACAGAAAAGTATAATGTACTACAGTACTAATTTAAGATGGAGAGATTATACAGTGAATTCTCAATCTATTGTTTTTGGCGGGACTTTGGGGAAAACAACTGATGCGGGAATAAGATTGACATGGGAAATTTATGACATCTATGTTTGTTTTTTTTTTTTGTATGAAATGTGTATTATCCAGTGATAAGCTTATATGATGGCTTTCTATAATACAAAACGATATGGAGCATGTGTACTGGCATTCATTTATTCTACATTTTAAAAAAGTTGTTAAGAATATGTACTGGAATTTGCTCTGTTTTATTTTGGTAAGAATAATTAACCCTCTAGCAGCAAAAAACAAAAACATTGAATATTATCAATGAAAAGACAATACATATAAAAATAGTGATTGTGAATTGTTTTTTCTAATAATTAAGTTGTTTTTTGGAGTAAGGCATATTTATGAAATTATCATACAAAACCCTTTTAGCATACAGACATCATATACTGTACAAAATAATCATTCAAATATGATAATTATTGTACAGAAGACAACTCTGAGACAATGTGCTAATTTTTACCAGTGCTGTCAGGGTTTAAGAGGAAATGTTGCCAATAAAGTACAGTAAAGCAGTAGACAAAAAATAGTCAAAAATCACAATAAAAACTGGTTAGCTGTAGTCAAAGGGTATAACTTAAATTTGATGTGCTTTTTATTACACGAAAATCAGTGTTTAGTGCTCACAATTTAGTGCCCTCTATTGTGAGTAAAACAATTGATGCAGGGTAACATTTTTCTTTTAGTTAAAATATAGAATAAACATTGTAGGAAAACAAATGATGCAAGAATAAAGAAGACAGGAAATATTAACATTATGTATATGGGTCTTTATTCAGTACCGAGAAAACAACTGATAGATGTGGGAAAATTATTGATACGGAAATGATAGATCAAGAATTCATTGTAATGTATTTTAAATTAAATTAATTAAAAATATGATTAAAAATTGCATCCTGACATTGTCACAATAAAATAATTGCTTGTTGATATTAATATTGTTTTATCTGAATATTAGTTGGGATGTTTTTCCAATGTTAGAGAGAGAAAAAAATTTCTCTTAATTTATATTCAAGTCCAATTAAACCTTTTCTTGATTTCTATGATTGTTTGTGTACACATTGTACAGGATTAAATTGATACTAAAATTGGTGTGTTGATTGTTTAGTGATAGTAAATACTACGAAGTTGTAACACATCATGCTGCAGTCCACAAACTACAGTACATATGAGAATTAAGCGAGTGATATAATTTTAAATAATTGATTAGTCAATTGATTCTGTTCAAAACAATAAAAACAGTTTTTGTAATGTCTAATTAAAAAAGGAACTTTTGTGATAAAATAAGTTCTTAAAGTTATTTATAATAACTTAAATTTATTTTACATTATTACATTTTAACTTTAATATTTAAAAATATGATTTTATTGTATTGTTTCAAAATAAAATTTTTATTTAATGTAATAATCATAAACTAAAATGTATCTTTTACATATTTAAACATCTCAGAGCCCTATATTTTAGTAATGTGCCAAATGCTTGCCAGGTTGAATTTAGTAAGAGATGGTGCTTAATGCCTACCTCTAGTACCAAATTATTTAGAATTTTATTTAAAATAATAGTGGAAAGTAGCTCGATTATAATCCGGCAATTGTTTGACATCTTTTTAAAATATAAAGCAGGATAATTTTAGTGAGAAATGTTAAACATTGTCAATATTTTAAAATTACAATATTTTTTCCCAAATGTCAAGAAACAACTTCAAAAGTTTGGATGTGAGAAGGTTACTAGAATAAGAATCAAGTCACTATATTGGATTGTAGATTTGTTTTGTTTTGACTGTCATATCTTAAGCAACAAAGCCTGAGTTTCTGCTAAGCTCTGCCACATGATGGTAATTTTATCACTGGTGAAACAAATTGTTGATGAATGATACACATCATTAACTGACCTGCATACTGATCATAATGCTGCTTTGATAGTGGTTTGTGAGTAATCAGAATGCAAATATTGCCATTCAATTACTCATACAACAAGACTGGTACAGAGTAAATATTACTATGCACTATTGACTGTAATGACATTGTCTCATATTTAGGTTTTGTTTTCGAATAGTCATAAAACTGCAAGTATATTTTCCAGAATGCACACGAAATTTGCACTGAAACCTTCTTTCTTCAGTGTAATGTATATACTGGGCAGCCTACTGCCCCCTGCACACAGAATGTTGTCTTGATTTTGCTCTACAACTTTTATTAATTTCATTTTTATTGATATTGACAAAATAGAAGCTAAATTACAATTTGTCACTTATAGATGTCCAATGCAGACATTTCTTGATATAAATCACAAACTCTGAGTAGAGTTTTCTGATTGTCAATCAATCAAACTCAGTAGAGTTTTCTGATTGATTTCATAATTGTCAGTCAATCAGAAAACTCTGAGTAGAGTTTTCTGATTGACTGACTAATTATGATTTTAAATATGATGTGTAAAAGTTACTAAGAAAGCAATCAAAAATTTATTTATACTGAGTGATTTCCAATCTCTAAATATTTGTAATATAAATTCATAAAAATATTACTACTAAGGTAATTTTAAAAAAAAGGTAACTGAACATGAATGCTTTTTCATAATCAGTTGCACAGATATAAATATTTTTCATATATTCTTGTAGTACTTTTTAAATTAGAATAACAGAATTATAAAAGATTGACAGAGAAGACACAATTATAAGACTTGAAGAAACATTGTATAAACAACTTGGATGGAACAGAGAATGATTTGCTGTTCAAAGCAGTTGAAGAGCATGTTGACAGTCATGAAATAGGAAACAGGAATAATGACAATGAAAATTCTTTGAAGATTAATATGAAGAGGAATTCTTTCAATGACTTTCCAGATTTTCTGTATGCAAATAAAAGTAATAATGAAAGGTTGACTTATATTCAGGTTCCTCTTTTTCTCAGAGTAAGAGTAAACGTTCCAAAATTGGGAATTAAATTATGTCCAGGACTAATAAGTCAACTTGTTTTGGGGGAAATAAGATATTTATGTAGTTTAAAATTCCAATATTATTTAAATGAAGTTTACAAATTTATAAAATTTAAAAAGGATTAATAGAGTCCAGAAATGTTATCTTTTGCACATGCCAAATCTTAATTTCAGTACAGTATTGATAGGTTATATTGAAAATACTTGATTGAAAATTTTTTTCAGTATCATCAAAATATTTCTGCAACTATTTATTATTTTATGCAAAGTATGAAAAGTTTGATATTGGGATTATAATTGGAATTTATACTGCAAAATAAAACTTGTTTTTGTTAGTTTTAGCTATAGTATTAAATATTCCATGTTATAATTTTACTTTCTTCTAATAATAAAATTACACAAAACTGTAAGTTATAGTTATTATGTTTATTATATTTTAAAATTATAATGTAAAAAAAGTATATTTAATAAAATATTTTATTATTATTACAATAAAATTTTAAGTATTAAATAAAATTTTCTTTTTCAGACAATGGAAAACAGTATTTCAACCGATCATGAAGTAGATCATTTAGTACCTGAAAGGATAAATGCAATTAGTTACAATCATAAAAGACTTCAACCTTTCCCAGATGATTCTGGTTTAGAATCAAATACATTAAAAGACTATGCTAGTTATTCAGACTCTAATAGAACAACGTAATACAAAAATATCTTTTATAAAGATTAAAATCTATAATTTGGCAATATTTTTAACAATTTTTTTTAATTTTAGAAATACTCAAACTATGATGCATTTATTGAAAGGAAATATAGGAACAGGAATCTTAGCTATACCCTCATCATTTGCAAATGCAGGAATGGTGGTAAGTTTATCATAACTTAGCTATATAGAATCACATTATATATCATATATATATATAAACACATAATATCTAAGTATTATCATATGCAGACAATTGTAAACTTTCCACCTCTTGAGAAATATTTTCATACATACTTATACAAGATTTTCACATAGGAGAACTCAATTTTTTTTCCTCTCGTTTTTTATAATTTTCTAATTTCTAATTTTCAACAATTAAGCACTTCAAACAACCTTTACAACTCCAGTGGTATGTGTTTGCACCTTAGCAAACATTTTCAACCTCATCGAGGTCTTCACCAGGCTACTTTAATTAGGAATTCGAACGCGTTTGGAAAGGAACGTATACGATTCAAAATTTATAAAAACAGATTTAAGAATACTCATGGAACGTTATGCATGCGCTGAAATAACTGTAAAGCACATGTAATATCAAGTTTGTGTAACGGTAGAAGCAGATGAAGTATACACTCTCATTTATGGAGATGAGTTCCCTCATAACAAAACTTCCACGCGCTAGATTTACCGACTGCATCCCTGGAGTTGATGCACGTGCCACATAATCCTGCCTTGTATATTTCTAGAGTTTCCATCATTCTCAGTTGATCAGTGCGATGTGAGAGCCTGATCATGTGGGCATTTTGTATGTCGGCTGTGATTCCCGGTTCAGTGGCAACCATTGAGAGGGCGGTGGTGTGTTTTTTTATTGTCGATGTCATGTTTGTGCTCACACAGCCTTTTGTGAAGGGAGCGTTTGGTTGAGCACACATAAACCAAACTGCTGTTAAATCTATCATCCCAAAATGGGATAGCATATACCCCTGGTGCGTGTTTTAAGTAGATTGCGTCTTTCCCGTTGCGAAACAAGTTGTAAACCAATCTATGCCTTTTATAAGCTATCCTAGTTTTATTGATGGATGAAATTTTTTTGTATATTGCGTCCAGATGGTGGTTGTACCCACAATTTTTCTTCTACACTTGTTATCCAAATGCTACCCATGGACATTGGTAGTATCTCGTGCGCAAACTTGTGTGTAAGCGCGAGCGATATTATGTACTAAGTTCTTATTATACCCATGTTGTGTGGCCATTTCCTGAACGTGTCTAAGTTCAGCTATGGTGTCTTGATAATTGGAGTGGTGCGTGAACACCCTCTTAGTTAAGGCCCTAAAAGCCGCGATCTTGTAGGAGTAAGGATCCTCAGAGTTAGCGGGGATGAAAAGCGGTACATAGGACTCTTTGTAATAGACCTTGGATGTGATCACATTATCCTTAATTTGAAGGTCCAAGTCCAGAAAATGCGTGGCAGTGTTGCTTTTTTGGTCCAATTTGATGTGCAGGCCATAGGGGTTGTCATTCATTGAGTTAATGAACTGGTTGATGTTGGGTTCTGTTTTCCATATGATAAAGATATCATCAACATATCTCCTGTACAGGAGGATGTTGGAAAGGTACAAGGGGATGATTTGTTGTTCCAACTTCCTGATTACCAGCTCACATAAATCACCCGAGAGGGGGAACTCTCCGCTTTTAGAGGTAGGTTTGTTATTAAAACGGAAGAAGGACAAATAACATAAGATGTGCACTAACTCAGAATGACAAAGGCATGAGATGGCTTAAATTAAATACACTAAATATTCTATGTTGAATGGAGGGTGTCATATATGCCATGAAATATGGTAAATATTTTTATTTTATATTTGCTTTCATGTATTTAATTTCTTCAGATAAATATTTATTATTAATTTTATATGTAAAATTTCCAAATATTGTGGATAATTATTATAATTTTAAATTATATATTTAAATAGACATTGGATAAATGTGTATAAAATGTATAAAAAATCAATATAACATTAATAAATACACTAATAATATATTTATGTATACTTGCACACATGCATGGTGATTGTAATTAATGTCAATACTATCTACAGAGAAATTTGCAGTCCGTATGCAACTAAAACTGATATAGTGATATTTCAAAACATTTCCATTAAAAAAATTGTCAAAATTTACCATTATGGTAATTAGTGCTGTAAGCAATGAAAACTGTTTCTTTTGAATAAGCACCTGTATAGTTACAGCCAAGTTCTGAGTATAAAAATGGCTAAAATTGTTTATTCTTATCAGCTACAATAGCCATTACTTTTCTGGAATGAGCATTTCTTGAGCTGTTTCATAACACTGCTGCAGCTGCTCTTTGAGAATTTTTTCCATCATCAGAATTTACACCAGAGACTATTGACTTCAAGCTCATAATGAAAGGATTATTCAGTTTGAGGAAACTGGTTATTTGAGAGTTCAATCCAATCAAAACTACAAACCAGGCTTTTACAAGTTGTTAAAGATAGGCACAGAATAATGTAACCAACTATCCGTGTTTAGTGGTTTTATCCACTCAACCACTGGTGGGCCATGATGCGCAAAAATGTAGGCAGATTTTTACCTTTTCTTTTTAAATCTTTGTAAGAAATCAACTTGCTTAATAAAAAAAAATCTAAATTTTTATCAAAGCAGAAAAATCAAATTTTATGAATATGTATTTCAGAATGAATTGTTTTTTCTGAAATAAAACTACTTAAAAGTCAATTATTTGTCACAATTTTTTATGTAAATGATCATTAGTCACTTTTTTGAGGATAGAACTTGTTACCAAGCTTACTACTGGTATAAACATTTTTTCAAGTTTATGAGAACTCATAAAAATGTTCAGGGTAGTCAAGATCGCTTTTGATATAATTTTGAACAAATAAAGAATCCAAGCAAAGAACACAGCATTAATGCTCAAAGTGCATTAAGGAATGAATTTGAAGAGCTTAATGCAAAAAAGACTGGGAGCACTAAATCCAAATAATGTAATTTTTTTCATCTTTTTTAATAAAATTATTTAAAATTTTAGCTGCAAAATAATATGATTAAAATTTAAGTTTAATGGCATTTTTTTTATTATCTTGTAATTTTTATAGACTTTATGACCCATTATTAAATTGGTTTAATAATTTAAGTGAAAAAAAAATCATATTTTAAATTAAAGTTGTTTTCTCCCTGTTAAATAGTGTTGATTCAGTTAGTATAGTTAATGTGTTCTAGAAAACTACTACATTACTTTGAGTATTTGTGTAATAACTTCACAAATGCTTTTAATAATAATTTTTACAAGTAAAAGTATTTCAAAAATATTAAAATGAAATATCAGCTTTATTATTTGAAGACAGTAGTTAATACTATTTATATGTTGTCTACATTAACTAGTAACTAGCATATAAAAAGTAATGCGGAGATTGGGTTAGTGAAAATTAAGTTTAATTATAAATATACAGTGGAACCTCGGTATACGACCTTAATCCGTTCCTGGTGTTTGGACTTATACCGAATAGGACGTATACCAAACCAACCTTTTCCATAAGAAGTAATGTAAAAATGATTAATCCGTTCTCATGTAAAAAAAATGGCTGGCTTTAAACACCTCACTTTCCTCGCTAGTTTCTGCTTGATTTTTCATGAGATCAGCATGTATCCTTTTAACTTTCTCGCAAATAATTTCTTCCAATACGCTGTCGCCGGCACACTGTTTTTCAGTTATCCAAAGCAAAAGCAATTTCTTGACATGATCTGATGTCTTCGATCTCTGTTTAAAAATTGATTTAACCCCTTTTGCAACGTTAGCAAATTTAATGTCTTTATTTTTCACGATTGTCGATATTGTCGTTCTCGGAATACGGTATGCAACAGTTAAATCTCGAACACGCATGCCACCTTCATATTTCTCAACAATCTCTTTTTTCAGTTCCGTTGTGATTCTAGTCATTTTTTTATTTTTCTGTTGCCCTTTTGCAATTGTGAGACCCGAAAGGCCCTGGGTCTAATTTAATAATTTTTATTAAATATGTTTAAATATCGACACAAAATATTACTTCATTTTTTGTGAAAACTAGTGTTTTGGACGTGGGAAAAAACCAGATAACAGATGCTACTTCCTTTCATAGAAGAGAACATCCTCTGACTTTCCCTTATCTGGTAAAAAAATCTCACTCAGATGGGAAATGGTTACCCCTCATTCATTCCCCTTTCGTCTGTTCTCATGGAAGAGTTACTGGCTGATGATTGGTCGAAATTCAGGAGATATAAGGGAAATTAGTCTGAATTCGGGGAGTTCTTCGACAGATCCGAGGCGTCAAAACTCCACACAGTTCTCCTCCTGATGACCAACGCCCTTAAACGAGTCCCATAGACTAAGTTCTGAGTCTGAACTTAGTGAAGATACTTTTATATTTGTGCACGTATTGATCTCCCGTACGAAGAAGTAAATGAACTCTATCTACAAGGTGTCCCTTACATACAGAGAGGAAGACGAATGACAATTAAACAGGTCGTATGCTTTATAATAATTTTGTGAGCTCTCTCTCTCGATCGCGCATCAGTATAGAATAAGTCTAAGCCAATATCGTGTAATCTAATTGTCGTTTTATTATCCCTCGTTCATTGATGTTTGTATTCGTTGTTTTTGGATTATTAAATTTACACTCGTTAAATTTTACTTAAATGTCTCTTAGATTGATTCCGAAACAGATCTCACACGCGTGTTTGCCCGCGGAATTTAATTGACAAACTGGTGTCAGTCCTGACGAGCATCTGGACTTCGCAGTTCGGATCATATAGCGGTTATCGCTCTCCTATGAAATATTTAAGATCAGATCTAGTGATCTGCATCCTAGAGAACTAGTCCTACCGACTGGTGCCGATTAAGTGTTACACGAGTACTACCTACTCCGTAACCCCGGCTACTCTCTCACAATTCATGATTAATAAAAATAATAAAATGTTACTTACAAATTAAAAATCAGAAAAAATTTAACAAAGTTATAAACCGTAGCACCGCGAACGTCTAGTCTAGTGTAGTATACCGATAGTGCTACTTGTTCATACATGGCTCGTATAATTGAATTAAGTCGTATACTGAGCAAAATTTGTTTCGTCCAAACAGGACGTATTCCGAATTGGACGTATTCTAAAGCAGACGTATACCGAGGTTCCACTGTATAGTGAAATCTCATTAGCATCTTCCTTTTGATACTTTCAAAACTGAATTCTTAATTTTTTTTGCAGTATTTAAGAAGTGTGATTCTTATGGTTTGCTATAGTGATTTTAAGTCAAAATTTAATGAACTTATTTTTAGATTCTCAATGTTTTATAAAAGATTTATTTACAGATTACATTAATTCTCTTTCAGTTGGGGGCTATAGGAATACCAATAATGGGTATTATTTGTGTTCATTGCATGCACGTTATTGTGAATTGTAGTAAAGTTGTTTCAAAGAGGTAAATATTTCAAATTATTGACTAATCTTTGAATTATTTCATTAAGAATTTTTTTTTATTTTAACTGTTCAAGAATTACTGTTTGTAATTTTAAATGAGATTAAGTTTAGTACTTCAATGAGTTTTTATTTGATGTTTGAATCTAGTATTTTTCTCTTTAATGGGATGAAAACAGAATAAAGAAAAAATTCTCTTTATTCCATTTTATTTATTATTTTTTAATATTTAATTTTTATATTAAGTTAAACTTTAATAATGTTGCTTTTAGAATTGGTACTCGTTCTTTGGATTATGCAGGCGTTGCAGAATATTCATTAAAAACTGGACCACGTAGATTAAGAAAACTTTCAGGAATAGCAAGGTATGTATTTTAACTATATTAAACTTTAATTTTATTGAAATTATTTTTATATACAGCTGTGGCTTTGATGCTCAGTTTTGAACTGAATTATATAAAGTATATACAGGAAATCCTTGTTTGTTTTGAATTCAAGAAATAAAATAAGCATGATTTTGAATTGAGTTTCAAATTATCCAAGATTTACATATTTCTGTACAATATGCCAAATTCCATGTGACTAATGTAATTTATTAAGCTAATGGAATAGGATATGGCTATGTATACAGAATGCTATTTTTGTTAATTAATAAAAATAATATAAATAAACTGCAGGTAAACAACACTTGTTTAGTGAAAATCTCACAAGTTATCAGATAGATTTATAAAAAAATTAAGCAGAATTCCTTGAAATGTAGCTCAAGTTATTTTTAAAGTGGTCCAAAAAGTAGTAAGTTGCCCAAATGTAGTAGCCTAAAGCCCTACAAATACCTTAACCTATCCCATGTTGAAATTTTTCTCTGTTGCATGTGGTTGCCATGTTCAATTTTTGATGATGTTAAACCTAATGAAAAATTTTTTAAAATAATAATCATGGCTACTGTATCATAAAAATTATTTTTTTATTTTGCACAAACAAAATAAATATATTGTAAAATATAAAAACAAAAAAATTATATTTCAAAAGTTCATTTTAATATAAAAATTTTGACGCATAGCGACATCTAGTATCAAAAACATTTTGATGGAGAAACAAGTATATTCAGGGTCAATGGGTTAGGTCAAGTGACGTCAACACAAAAATATTTGGGAACAACACAAGACAGGTTAATCTGCTATATGTAGCCTAATCTTACAATCCCAAAAATCAGCCACATTTTATGAGATAAGAGAAAACAAGGATAGTGCATGTGTAAGGTGACATCTGAAAATGTGTTACTGAAAAAGTAAAGCCGTATTGATCATATTACAGTTGTTCTTTGTCTATTGTTCTCTTATAGCATGAAGGCACTGCAATCTAAATGAATAAATTAAAGTATGCTTATCACAGTAAAGACAGAATTTTCACTTCAAATTTTGAAGTAGCTGTATTTCGAACTGAATTCTTAAACACCAACCGTATGCAAAAAATCTATCGGGCTAGTTTAAGGCTAATTACTAAATGAATTACGTAACCAATTTGGCTCTAGAGGTAAGCATTAGGCACCATCTCTTATTAACTCTAATAATTATAAATTAATTAATTAATTTAAATAATTGAGAACCTCTGGGAGAAAAAATCGGCCTGGAGCGGGACTCGAACCCACGACTCCTGCTTACTGTGCAGATGCGTTGCCAGTTACACTATCCAGACCTCCAGTCTGATCTCCTCTTCCAGTGCATATAAGCTAACTATATTTTCGGCATACGGTTGGTGTTTAGCTATATTATATATCGGGTTTAGCGATGTTTGTATAACTGAATTCCTTAACATGTAAATCTCTATATCCATGGCTGGGACAAAAGTACAGTTACAAACTAATGGGATTTTGAACTATTCAAGTTCAAATTAATGAGGATTTCCTGTATGGACTTGTGTGTAATTGAATTCAAAACATTGAGCATCAAAGCTATAACTATATTCAAAATAATAAAATTTTCAAATTTTTTTGTGTGTACTTGCATACATTGTATGTCAAAAATGAAATTTGTTTAATATAAGTGTATATTGTATACTAGTTAGTTGTAATCCTGTTTTTTATATCATTAATACTTACCCTGCTGGTCCAGTTGACATAGTTACTTACCTGTGTGCTGACTGATTTAAGCGATTTTACAGTATTTTCTACTGAAAATAAAAAACGATTAACTAAAGCTAGGTAAAAAGTAAAAACAGTGTCTGATATTGGGAACATTTATCTGTACATTACTCAATTTTGATGTGTGTGCGCTTTGTTTTTATGTATTATACTTTAATGTTATTTGGACATGTTTTAGAGATAAAGACAAAATAAAAAAAAATAAAAAACTGCAATATAGCTATAAAATTTGTATTTTTATGTATGAAATATGTAGTACATTGATGAATTTATTCAAAATAATGATGTACTGTATCAATATTATTAGTAGACTTATTTCCGACTGTAGCTGTTTTCGTAATTGAGTATGTTTGGCAAATGTACATAAGATGGCATTAGCACTATCTGAAATTTAGGAATTTGACTTTTGTATTGATAATATCTAAAAAGTATATAAATTATGTAATATCATATAAACTATACAGGTTTAAAATAATAACGAAATTACATGGCTTATTTCTATTTGTTCAATCTCAGTTAGGCCTAAATCATAATCGCAACATTTTCGTCAGATAAATCAATATAATCGGCATTATATTTGTTGATTTTTTTATTAATGAATTCAAACAATTATTAGTTAGTACGTTAATGCACCATATCTAAACTTAACTTATATATAAAAAATAAAACTACTCAATATTCACTTGCAAAATATGGCGACAAAACTTCGAATCAGACTATTATCGCGGTTGTACAAAATCACTTATATTTCAAATTTCTGAATAAATAGTTCCCACTATTTATTAACAGACACACTAAAATACACAAAGAAAACATTACATCTTCAGCAATGAAAATATGATGTTTTAAAGCTAGAAATAACTTGATATATAGACTTTAGTAAAAAACGTAATATTACGTTTCTCGTTTTAACCAAAGTCTTCACAAAATGTAATATTACATTCGTAGCAGAGTAAGTGTTAATTAAAAACAGAAATAATGTAACCATTATACAGTTTTACCTATTTTCACAATTTGTAAATAGATTTTCATTCTAGTTTTTAATTTCTCATAACTAGTTAATAAACTCAGTTATATGTAATTCTATTTTTCCAATTTTATAAATGTGTGATATGTGTATATTTTTAAATAGGTGATACATTAATAAATTAATAAGCTTATTTATTTAGATATTTATTTTAATCTACTATGAATATCATCATGTATATTTCTATCAATTTAGTATTTTCAAACATTATGTAATATAGCTAGTTCTAAATTATAAGCTATTTACATAGGATTTTCAAATGAAGTTATTTTAATATTCACATTAAATGTAAATCTTGACCTGCTTGGTCTTTTGGATCTTATTAATTCATATCCTAAATATATCTATCATTTTAAGAATTTATTTATTTACAGAATTTTCTTACAGAAGAAAATTTACTTAACTGAAACTGTCAAATAATGAATGAAAGTTTCTAAATGAAATAAGTGATTCTTGTTATACATTCATCTTATGCTTTTTTTCAAACAATAGATTGATAAATATTAAAAAGTTAATATAAAACCTGAAATATTGTTAAAACAACTTACTAAATTAGAAAAAAGCTTATTTCGGTAGCTAAAAGAGAGAATATTTGTATACTAAATTTCTAATGATTGATTAATGTAATAATCTAGCTTATATTTTTCTAATAATAAACAATGCTTTTTTGCCCTCGACTATAAATTAGACAGAATTAGATAACCTAATAAATAGGGTATAACAATTTGCAGGGCTTATCACACCAAGGCCGACAGAAAGAAGGACCAGAACTTTTATAAAAAAAAGGATTGGTCTTTAATAATCACATTTCAAATTTAGGTAAGTATGTATTTCGGGTACAAGGACACCTCATCAGCTTACAAACACATGGTAACAACTTAACAAATACAACACCAATAACCAGCCAATACAACAGGATAACCAACATATGCAGTGCACTGCATTTACAATTTCTCAATGTAACCCATACACTAAAAACTAAAATATCAAGTATAAATTTGAATACAATGACAATGTGGTATAACGTATTATCTGGGACCAGTAAATGTCAGTCTCTCCGACATTTTCCAAATTCTGGTAGACGGTTACACTATTAATAATAAATATTGTTAAGTATATTAAATAACACAAAAAAAGGGGAGGAAGCTAACAATGAACTTACTCTTATTACAACCAATTGGTCTCCAGATTTTAACACAAACAAAATACATCTGATCTATAAGACTTTGTGAAGACAACTGCTCTGTCACAATGCATTTTTACAAAGCAATGTGACTATACTCCCACATCTGTTCAGCATCTGTTTCAAGGTTTAGGTGAAAAGGATGTCAATCCACCGCTCATGTAGCTTCAGTCCCACGTTGTTATTAATTCTGATGTCTTCCTGTATTTTCAGAATTTCTAAGTGTTCCTGTAGTCTTCTTTTTAGTTAATTGTTTTCTGTCATAATACACTTGATACTATCTTTTAAAATTTCACAACCTTCAGTGTTGCAATGTTGTGCCACTAATGATGATATCAAATTATTTTTAATGGCATATATATGTTCTTTAATCCTTGTCTTTAATTTTCTTCCAGTTTCCCCTATGTATCTTTTTTTATGTGAACAACTGCAATCTAATGAATCAACTACATTATCTTTTTCTAAATCATTATGTTCATTATTTTCATGTTTACTGTTAATCAATTTTGCTATGATTCTTGTGTGGTTTGGTACTAAAATAATATCTAATCTTTTTAATTTGTTTTTTAATTTTTCAAAAACACCAAAAACATATTCTATTTTTAGATAAGACTATCTAAAAATAGAATATGTTTTTGGTGTTTTTGATAAGACTATCTAAAAATAGAATATGTTTTTGGTGTTTTAGATAAGACTATCTAAAAATAGAATATGTTTTTGGTGTTTTTGAAAAATTAAAAAACAAATTAAAAAGATTAGATATTATTTTAGTACCAAACCACACAAGAATCATAGCAAAATTGATTAACAGTAAACATGAAAATAATGAACATAATGATTTAGAAAAAGATAATGTAGTTGATTCATTAGATTGCAGTTGTTCACATAAAAAAAGATACATAGGGGAAACTGGAAGAAAATTAAAGACAAGGATTAAAGAACATATATATGCCATTAAAAATAATTTGATATCATCATTAGTGGCACAACATTGCAACACTGAAGGTTGTGAAATTTTAAAAGATAGTATCAAGTGTATTATGACAGAAAACAATTAACTAAAAAGAAGACTACAGGAACACCTAGAAATTCTGAAAATACAGGAAGACATCAGAATTAATAACAACGTGGGACTGAAGCTACATGAGCGGTGGATTGACATCCTTTTCACCTAAACCTTGAAACAGATGCTGAACAGATGTGGGAGTATAGTCACATTGCTTTGTAAAAATGCATTGTGACAGAGCAGTTGACTTCACAAAGTCTTATAGATCAGATGTATTTTGTTTGTGTTAAAATCTGGAGACCAATTGGTTGTAATAAGAGTAAGTTCATTGTTAGCTTCCTCCCCTTTTTTTGTGTTATTTAATATACTTAACAATATTTATTATTAATAGTGTAACCGTCTACCAGAATTTGGAAAATGTCGGAGAGACTGACATTTACTGGTCCCAGATAATACGTTATACCACATTGTCATTGTATTCAAATTTATACTTGATATTTTAGTTTTTAGTGTATGGGTTACATTGAGAAATTGTAAATGCAGTGCACTGCATATGTTGGTTATCCTGTTGTATTGGCTGGTTATTGGTGTTGTATTTGTTAAGTTGTTACCATGTGTTTGTAAGCTGATGAGGTGTCCTTGTACCCGAAATACATACTTACCTAAATTTGAAATGTGATTATTAAAGACCAATCCTTTTTTTTATAAAAGTTCTGGTTTTTCTTTCTGTCGGCCTTGGTGTGATAAGCCCTGCAAATTGTTATACCCTATTTATTAGGTTATCTAATTCTGTCTAATTTATATTTTTCTATTGAGTTTTCTTGAACAAAGAAAAATATTTATATAGATTTATTCATAAGAGCAGTTATTTGTTGTTCAGAGACAAGACAATATTGTGAAAATAAAACATCTATTTTATGGATTTAGTACTGACTAATATAAAAGAATATGTTCATTAATTCATAATAAAGCAATTCTGTAAGAAATATACTAATAATGTGCACATTTAAAATTATATATGAAAAAATAATTTTATTTGACTTTCATTATACTTGTAGAAATTTCAGATTTGTGTCTTTGCTTTCAAAACTATATACTTTATTATTTAATAAAGTAAAATTATAGCCAAACATTTTTATGGAATTATTTTATTTTAAAGAATTCTAATAAAATATTTTATATAGGAAACTGGTTAATATGATGCTCCTACTAACTCAATTTGGATTCTGCTGTGTGTATTTCATTTTTGTATCTGATAGTTTGAGGCAGGTAAGTGATTTATCATTTAACAGAAAAGTTTAATAATCATGTAAAATTAAAATTTATCAGAAAAATGTGCACTATAAATAGGCTATTATAGCCCTAAATAAGAGGCTGGATGGCTGAGGTAGTTAAGGCATTAGCCTACCACTCAATGGGACATGGGATTGTATACAGCTGCAGTAAGGCATAGCCAAAACTTGTGGTCATGGAAAAAAGGTCTGTGCCTACAGAGCAGTCAAAAATGGAAAAACCCCAATTAAAGCATTCAGAGATGCAGACTGTCTTTTTAAAAATATACTATTGTATATATAAATAATTTTTAAGTCATATTCTCTCTTATAACTAAATTCTATTCTAATGCAAAAGTTTTCAGGAGAAAGACTAACATCAATGTTTGTTGCTGTTCAGTTTAACATGAATATTTTTAAAAATATTCACATTAAACTCTACTAAAATTCTTCTAAGTAAAACATTGTCATTAAAACTAACATAATGCAATAGTCTGAATTTGATAGAACATATTTGCTGATTGTATGCAGTTGAGATGAAGTTATTCTGGTTGGGCTGCAATTTGAAAAAAATTGTAGACCTATAAATTCCCACTGTTGTCCGTCAGTCTGTCTTTCCTCGAATGGAGTTTGATAAATGAAATTTGAGATCATATATGGAAACCTTAGAGGCAGGAGGCCCTGATTAACTATATATAAAATTCCAATTCAAATCTAAAGTTGTGTTATTTCAATTCAAAACTTTTCCCCTGAAAGGTATTAGATAGATTGTTATTGGAAAAATATGATGTATGGGGGCAAGCCACTACTAAATTGAGGTGGTGAGCATATATTTTAAATAAAATAAAAATAAGATTAAAAATTGCAGCTTAGAATTGTAGTGATCACAATAAATAATTGCTTGTTCTATTAAAATTATTTTGTCATGTATAACTAGGAATTTGGTATTAATGACAAAATTATGTTGAAAATTAAGCAATACTTATACAAAAAATAATTTATTAGTGAAATTCATTAAAAAATTTTTACAATATTTTTACAAGCTGTTTAAAACACACAAATGTTTTTCAGTTTTTAATTAATTGTTTTACTTTGTCTTGACTATATGGATTTTCAAATTGATAACATCTAAGTTTAAAAATTACCTCCTTTAGGCATGATTAATAAATTATTTAACAGCAACACTAAAAGAGATCATAATGAAACTTATTCTATAAGTCTGATTAATAAATAATTGATACCCCATGATAAGTATACAGTCAACTCCCATAACATGGTAGATACGTTCCAGTTTTTATGAATCCATTTTCTACGAGCCCTTAAATACATGAGCCAATCACAGCCCGGCACATATGCAGTTTATGGACTACAGCTGTTTGAAAGGTTTCTTCCATAAAATTAATCAATTCTAGACTAATTTGACTCAACATTTCCAAAATACATATAATTTTTTGGAAATAATCCATATAAACTATGCTATAAACAAAAATTGTAGGATTACTTACCAAGTGTGCACCATTCGACGACGCCATTGCTTAAGCTTGTTTTCTTCATGGAGCTTGTCATCGAATGGCGCTCATGTGCTTCCTGATAAATTATTTTTTTTGCGAAAAATTTGCTGAACTTTGGAGACATCATTAATATAAATATAATTATTTGGACGTTAAATAATAAATGGTTTTTAGTAGGTCCACTGCTCATTTAAACTCAACGGTTTGTACAATATTCACTATTGGTCTAGATTCGACCAATCCTGTCGCGACACGAGTCAGCGATGACATTTTACTGAATTATAGGAGTTTTTTAGCATGTCTGTACGAATACTGTCGCAATTTTTTCGCCATCATATAGGAATCCGAACTATATGAACCCATTTTATAGGGGGGTCTACTGTATTAATATAATAGGATCAAATGCTTTTTTCACATTTTATCTGTTTTACTAGAATACTTTAGTGAGTATATTTAAACAGTGAGTTTTATGAATTAAATATTCTTTGTCACAATATGAAGTTAAAGTTAAAATCTTCCCAGAAACAATTTCAAAATATATTTATTTATACAAAACTATTAAAAACTAGAATATCAGATGGAAAGTAATGGAAGCAATATTAAAATGGACCTAATGCTGCAAGATGCTTTCTTATCATGAAATCTTTAAGATGGTTTTTCAATTGTAAAAATGTTCTTTGTCATTCTTCAAATGAGTTTAGAGTTTGTTGTTATTTGAAATTACATGAGAGAGATGAAATAATCAACAGTTGTTTGTCTTAAATTGTTGACTTTTTAATGACAATGTTAATTTTAAATCATATTCAATGTTGATTTTATTGTCTTCATCTGAAGCAACAGATTCTTTTTAGGAATTGTTATTTTCAATGTCATTGTGTTTAATGTTTCGTAGCCTTAAATAACTAATTCAAAGTAAAATTTTACATGGAAAATGTCTCAATTAAAATAATTTTTAATATGTCATAATTTGATAATTTGTTAGAATAAAATCAAACTCATAAGTAACTTATAGTAAAAGTGACATTTTCATTAAATGTTTGTGAATACTTTTATAAACATTTTGAAATTTTTATATGAAAGCAAAGTTTTATTTTAAATGTTTGTTTAACTGGAAGAAAAAATATTTATATCAAATTAAAACTCCTTTAATCTCCCCCTAAGTTTAAGATTTAAAAAATATTTATTTTATATACCAGAATTTCCTATTTTAAGATAGTCTATCATATTTTAGCAGCATTTTAACTAAATTTTATAACATATTAAAATGTAGTTATTTCATCCATTAAAGGAGCACTGTTCATCTTTATAAACTCATAAAGTGGGTAATCAATGAGAGTTAGATAACACAAAAGATAAGTTTTCAGCATTCCTGCTTATTTCAGAAAGCATTAAATGTGGATGATCTAGATTATCTTAAAAATGAACTTTATTTTTTCATGAACATTATTATTTTTAAATACTGTATAAAAGGACCCCATACAAACCTCATGGAAAGTGGGTTCCAGTGGATTTGGCTTAATCTTTGGTATTTTATAGTTCTAGTGGTTCTGATCAAAAGTTGTCGTAGGAAAAGTCAAAAACTGTCCATTTTTTGACCTTTTTTTTTTATCCCAAACTACTTGAGAATTGATCAGAAAGTAAGTTTAAATTAAATTTTACTTTCTGATCAACTTTTACCACATAATTTGTTATATTTATTATAAAAGAGCTTTTTGTCTTTAATATTGTTGAAACAGAACTCAAACACTAATAGTAGAGATAACAAAGACTTATCAGACTGCTACTGTTAAAATAGCACTTTCAGAATAAAGTAATAAAGTTGGATTCTGATGATAGAAGTGTCATTTTGATGTCACCAGAGCAGTGTGATAAGTCTTTGTTATCTCTACTATGGTATTTGAGATATTGGTTGTTATCTCTACTCTAGTATTTGAGATATTGGTTGTTATCTTTATTTTATACAGCTAAATATATTTTAATAAATAATGTCCTGATAAGCATTCTTCAAGATTGAAAACAAAAATCATTGGCTGCCAAATCTGAACTGCAAGGAAAATTGTGTTCATTTTCCAATGAAAAGTTTTGAATTTAATATATGTGCAGTCACTGTCATGGAGTAGAATTATACTATTGCTACAGAGATCAGAATAAAACAACTCATAACCCTATTTAATTAATGCCAAATGATCTGCTGAATTATTGGGCTATTTTTAGGCTGTTAATGGTTAGTTACTAATTAAGTTGACTAGAGTTAGACAGATTGCTGTCATCTCATATTAATTTTAATAATTAAAGTAATTTTTTAAATTTAGAAATTTATTGTATCTACTTAACTCTAGTCAAATTAATTAGTAACTAATCATTAACATAGCCCAAAAATAGCCTGATAATTTGGCAGATTATTTAGCATTAAAGGTTAGAATGTTCTTCTATACACACAAATCCACATACTTATAATTCTTGGACTCAAATGAAATCAGTTTTCCAAATGAGTTATTATGTTGAACTGTCACATCTGTTTTTTCTTCACATTTTGAATTATTTGACTGTGAACACTATTGCTTCCTAACATATGTATCAAAAGTGTTTTAATTTCAAAAAGTTTAGTGTTAGAAAATAAGTTTATATAAAAACCAAATAGGATTTGTGTGTGTACACAAATCCTATTTGGTCATTTTGATATTACCAGTACCATATACATACATATATATATATATATATACACTTTTTTAAAATAGTAATTTATATTTAATGTTCTTTTCAGGTCACTGTGAATTTAGCTGGTCATGATGTACTTGGTTCTTATGGCTACTTGTTCATTTTATTACCTGTGATGATTTTATATAATTTTATCAAGAGTTTAAAACATTTGGCTTGGAGTTCAACAATTGCAAATGTATTGCAATTATTTGGTCTTTGCAGTATATTCTACAATATTGTTCAGAAGCTTCCACCTACGTCTTCACGACCTGCTTTTGCACCTCTTTCAAAATTGCCTCTATTCTTTGGGACTGCTATATATTCATTTGAAGGAATTGGTGTTGTAAGTATTAACTTTTATTATGAAAGTATGCAGCTTCTATATTATAATTTGATTGTATCTCTGATGCTATATCTAATTGCAATATTATCATATTAAACAAGTTCAAATTTTTATAAGTAAATTTCATTTATTATTGGTTTTTCTGTATTGACTATTTCCATAAATAAGTTACTTCCAAAAATAAACCCATTTGAGAGTTTGATGGTAAAGCAGTAAAGGCATTATTTTGCTTCTCTAGGGATTCCAGTATCAAATCCAAGTGGAGAACTCCAGAAATTTTTTCAGATTGTTGTAGATATATCAGACCTTATTCTTCACCATTCAGTCACCTTTGATGAGGGTCTGGTCAAATCCACAATGGGCCTAGAAATAATGCCCTCTTAGTATCCACAGATCTAAAAGTAAACATTTTACGATTAGAAGTAAATTATCATAAACCTAATATAAACCAAAAGTAACTGCAAGTGACAGATACAAAATATCAAATTTTGGGAAACTGTCTCAAGATCTGCTAGCTGAGTTAACTTAATAGTTGTTAGTAATTTTGAAATTTTTTGTATGATGAAAACAATGAATGCATTTAACTTCATGTTATTTCTCAGACACATCTGATACTTTGCAAAACTTCCAATACACATTATGTTAATCTGTGAAAGTTTATTAAATGTGAGTTTCTACTATAGTTAATCTAAAAGAACAATTTTTGCAATTAGATGGTTAATTTCATAATTCCAACTTGCCAAACTTTTGGACTACATTTATATTAATTATAACATTGTATTAATTTCAAATTCTCAATAAGTAACATTTACAGTTTCTGCTTTATTGTATATTGAAACAGAAATTGCAAATGTTATGAAGAATAAAGCTACATACTGTATCTCAGACCATATGTAACAGTCAACACTACTACTGAGAATGAACTAAACACTGAAAATATTTCCTAGTGCTTTTGAGTCTTCTCAGCTCTAGTAAAGCAGGAACTGTATGTAATTACTACTACATTTATACTAACTTATTAATTAAAAATATTGAATTTGCATCAAAGTTAGACAGATGGTAGCCTATCTTGTTAATATTATTAGAAATTATTTTTTAATTCAGTTAAATAAATTAGAAAATTCTGGAATAAAAAAATTTACATAATGGGATTTTAAATAGCAATTTTTTTGCTTACCATATAGATGTATTTACACTGATATTACCTGGATCTTCATCCAGTTTTTCTTATAGATAAATATTAATTTGAACTATATAATCATAAAAGTTGTCATACTGACACCATCTATACTCATGGCTTTTTTTGGCTCTCAGCTGCATTTGGACTCATTTTTGATGTTATATATCCAGGGTGGCCAAGCTCCTTGATAGTCCGAGCCATTTTTCAAAATTTGAAATTTTTCGCGATCCGCAATTAAATACATATTAAAAAGGTATGCAAAAAAATTCCAGATTAGGAATTATATCCGTAGCAAGAGTGATACAAATTGTTTCCTCCAGAGCACAATGTCAACTGTCCGTTGCAAATTCAAAATCGATCTGGAGTCGGGCGATAACGGACGATTACGCCACTGTTTATGTTCGTTCTTGCAGTTTTCGATGAGTCATATCATTCTTAACTTGGACGGAAATGAAATTTGTTACAACGTTGCACTTAGTCTTTCATATTTGTTGTTAGTAATTTAAAAGACATTTTGAAACACATACGGAACGATAATAATTTTTAAAAATATAATAACACAAAAATGGAACTCGGGTACATTTATCGAGAGCCACAAATAATCCTTCAAAGAGCCGCATGTGGCTCGCGAGCCGCAGGTTGGCCACCCCTGTTATATATAAACATAGCCAAAAACGAGAAGTTTAGATTTGACTAATTAATTTGAACTTCAATTGCTTATTCTTTCACACAATCACATTAATTTTTAAAATTTAATATATTATTTCCCTGTTTAACTGTTAGCCTTCCAAAAATCTGAATACTCCAAATGTTGCATAAGATTTTTATCATGTAAAACTTTAATAGATTTCTCATATATATGCATATTAAATTTAAATAAATCAGCAATTTTTATCATCATCAATATGTAATAATGGTACTGGCATTGCAGAACTAAGTTTATGTGACAACCACCCAATCAAATTGATTATGTTAACAAGACATTTATACTTGTTATTTGTGTTACACAATTGTGTTAATTTCTTGATCCATCAAATGTTATGAATAACCAATAAAATTAAAATTTTTAAAGCAAGCAAGAATAAGATAATAGCATAAATACAACATTATTTTGAATATATAATTTTTAATGCAGTAGTTTTAAGATCAGATAGTGAAACAAAAGTTAAAAATAAACTTTACCTTACATTTTAATGAAAGAATAATTATATTTTGAATAATTTCCATTAAGAACTCCATGTATAATAATTTTGCTTCTGTAAAATGTTCCAACAAAATTTTTCAGAAAATAATTTTAATATAAATTTTAGGTTCTTCCATTAGAAAATGATATGAAAACTCCTGAAGATTTTGGAGGCTGGACAGGTGTTTTGAATACTGGTATGGTTCTTGTTGCTTGTCTTTATACTGCAATTGGATTTTATGGCTATTTAAAATTTGGTCCACAAGTTGATGGAAATATTGCAAACAGTCTTGAGCATACTCCGTAAGAACATTTTTAAAAATTTTAATAAATACATATTTTATAAGATTACAATATAATATAAATGCATTTTAATAAGTATTATTATTATTTACATTGGTACTGATTTATATCAGTAGTTGCATTTGACAGTTTAAACTATTAAATGCAATTGATTTTGATTTTTTTTAAATTGTTCTAATGTGATTGAACAGCATGTTTTACAGTAATGTAACTGACAGGACTTTCAGAATAATAATTGGTACTAGTAATTTTATTTGCAAAATTAAATTATCCATAATAACTGGTTGTGTTTATCAGTTCATCTCAATCCACATGCACTACAAATTTAATATAAAAAAAAACAAATATTTTTAATTGTTTCAGCAATCATCTTCAGGTTTACATTAATTAATAATATAGAACAATGCATGGAATAAACTTCATAAATTCAAATTACTCTACGGAATATACAGGTAGGCCTCCTACAATGCGGTAGATATGTTCCTTGAAAATACCACGTTGTGAGAAATCGCGTTATAGGAGACACCAACTCAATACAAAAACTGGGATTCGGTACTAAAAAGAGAAAAACTTGGCATTTGAATGGCGTTTTTTTGAATTTTTCAAACCAGCCATTGGTTGCCACGAATTTAACACTAGTTTCATCAGCTGACCAGTGGCAAAGCATAGTGGGGGCGACACTTTTAAGGGGTGGCAAAATTTCACAATAAATAATAATAATATCTTGTAAAAATTTGAACCATTTCATTTCATATTTTTGTCGCACCTACGATTCGGATCGATTGAAATGAGCACGGAATTCTTCATTATTTATTCTGTGACGAAACTGAATTTTAGTCTTTTAAATTGAGATACCTAAATAAGGGGGCAGCAAAATTTTCCTCCGCCCCGGGCGGCTGACACCCACGCTACATCACTGCAGCTGACGACTGTCCCATTTGTTTTAAATAATCAAATATTTTTAAGGCTTTGTGTTTAAGTGCAGTTTTATTTAAAGGCAACCATTTCTTGTTCATATCTTCTACTCATAATATTAGCGCTTCTTCCATTTTTTACATTATAGATGCTCTCGGACTAGCAACATTTTTTGCAAGAATAAATGATCCGGATGCGACCAAATTTCTAATCTTTTCTCCCGATTGCTTAATCCACCGAATAGTCGACTCATTTAAATTAAAATGCCTACTAATATCAGCTATCTGCTCTTGATTTTTAATTCAATCCAAAATTTCTATCTTTGAAGAGTTATAAATTACCTTTTTAACGACTGTCTTTTCGTTCGGCATTGTTATGGCTAAAATTTTTTCAATCAGTTTTGTGGACAGTAAAAATCTCAAAAAATAACTTTTCTTCACTATGTTTTTAAAAATATACACCCAATAGAAGTTTATACTGTGTTTTGGACCATTTTTGCTGTCCTCACTTATTGAAACAGTATAAATGATGGAAAATTTAGTGATATATTTGAGTGTTTACGGTAACTAATACACATCTGTCTAGAAACTGGTCTTCCCCTGAAACATTCAAGGAAATAAATAACACGCCAACGTCGACAAACAGCTGTTTTCAAAGACTTTTAGCTCTGTATACCGAACTGTGGCTCGTATCACGTGATCCGTTGCAATTTTTCTGTTATGTGAAAGATAATTCGTTTCTAAATACCATAAACCGCGTTGTAAAAGTACTGTGTTGTAAGAAAATTACTGCATTTTTCCAACCGCGTTGGAGCGAAAACACTTTGTAAAGGTACCGCGTTGTAAAAGGCCTACCTGTACTACATAACAGATAAATCCAATCTACAATGGCATATCTAAAAGAAATAAACTTATATAAAGAACTCTAGGATATACAATAGAATGATTGACATGTCTCAATGTCCATTTGGTCTTTTAATAACTGTCAAGACCTGGCACTCTTTAGCCTATCTAGGACCTTGTGCCACAAAATTCAACTAACCAACCAATTCAGTTGAATTGACAATATACATGGAAATGACAAATGGAATTTGTTTTCTAATTGGTCATTTCCATGTATATTGTGATGCCTATTCCCAAAGCCAAGAAGATTTATATTTTTTTTATATTCTAATTTGTATATAAAAATAAATTTTATTATTATTTAAATAATATAAAAAAATTTTTTTATCACTTTAAATGACAATTTCCATATGGATAATAATGCATTAATATCTTTGTAATTGATGGTCCTGAAAACATTTATTTTTTAAAATTAAATTTGTAGTGTGTGCACTGGATTTTTGTTGTTGTGTGAACTGAAAAAATAAATTATACTATATGCAAAAATTTTTTCTTGTGTGTTATCAGATAATTTATTCAATAATCAATAATTATTAAAGTTCAAAATTTATTTGATAACATATATATTGACATAATAAAAAATTTAATCATTTAATAATTTTTGTTTTATTACAGATTTAATGAGGTTGTAAGATTATTGTTTGCTATAGCAATTTTTTTGTCATATGCATTACAAATGTATGTACCACTCCAAATAATATGGCCATGGCTGAAAGAAAAAGCAAATTTAGAAAGAAGATATTCTCCAAAAACTGTTAATATTATTGAATACTGTTTTAGGGCATTTCTCGTTATTTGTACATGTAAGTTATAATTATTTTAAATTTATTTAAAATAATGAATACTCAGTCTTTAATCATGTGTACAAGGTGTTAAAGATATATAAATAATTTCATTTCAGTTTCATTGGCTGCAGCTGTTAATGATTTGAAGTATTTTATTTCACTTGTTGGAGCAGTAGCAAGTAGTTCATTAGCTTTAATTTTTCCAGCAAGTTTGGAACTAATAACTTATTGGAGTACAGATATAAGTAAGTTTTAAAAAAGTAAAAATGATTGTAAATATTAAATTTATTACATTTATAAAATTTGTATTTTAGGAAATCTTAGAATAAATTTTAGAATGAAGCATAAAATCTCTCAAAAATTTTATCATTGAAAATGTTTATTAAAAAATTTAAGTGGCATCTATTATGGTAGTGAAATATTTTATAATACAGTATATTCATAGAGCAGTGTTCCTTAACAGGGGGACCGTAAGAAGTTTGCCGGGGACCGCCAAATTATGCAAAATTCCTTCAGAATATAATAAAAAGAAAATTGATGTATAACCGAATATCATATTGAAAAGTAAAATAAGAAAGATGAAGTTGTTGTATTTAGTTTTTTTATTTATTTCTTATTTTTTCCTACATACAACTTTGTTAGTACAGAAGAAATAAATGTAAATATGCTACTTACACTGCACTATTTACTTCTGTTATTTCAAAGTAATTCTAAAAAGCTATTAAAACTATTAATGCTTGGAATTTTGCATACAAATTCGTGCAGAAAATCCTCCCGTTTCCAACAGCAATACAAAATTTGCTGTCTTTCGCAAGTGCCTGCCTTTTTGTATTTTTGAATATTTTTTGTTTTTTCTATGAATTTTTAAATGTTTCTTATTTTATTTTTTGTTAAAAATTAATGAGCTTTTATGTTTAATTGTGGAGTTTGAATGTTATTTAAATAGATGTAAAACATAACTTTATTATTTTATTATTTATTATATAAAAAAATAAAGCAATAATAAAAAAATCAATTTATTATAGATAATTTAACAAATATAAATTATTATTAAAAAATGGGGGTCACAAAAAAATTATGAAATATTTGGTGGGTTGCGAGTATAAAAAGGTTAAGAACCACTGTCATAGAGTATTGATATGTATGATAGTAAATATTTTAATGAGAAAAGATATAGTTTGAAATAAAAGTAATAAAATATATTTCTATACAAAGTTATCTCTGTTTGCTAACATATGGTGAGTTGTGTTCCAAGGCCTGAGCTTGGCCTTATTTCTTCCTTTTTTGTTTACTTTCTCAACCAACATTTCAGTTTCTTTTCATTACTTAACTATACTGCACAATCAATATATGGATTGATATTTTCTATATGCAGATTTTTTAAGATATTCTTCTGATTATTCAATGTATTTTTTTTTTCTTTTTATCTGTCTTTATGTTGGCTATATTCAATGATGTAAAAGAATGAAGTAGTGTGTTTAAATGCTTAGATGGGATAGTAGAGAAGTTACCTGACTAATCTTGTGTAAGAGGAGGAAGCTGTAATTTTAAAAGATGGATTTACAGAAAAAAAAATTAAATATGGAAGTAAGAAATAGTCTTAGAATTAAAACATTCAATATTTTCTGTATCTAATATATAAGATTTATATGTTACTGTGATAGCCAGCTAACACACAATGTTCTGGTTTTTACTAAGAAAATAAATAATGATAGGAATGGGAATATCAGAGTAATAGAGAATTAGAGATATAAGCTGTTTTATGAAATTTAGGGAACTAAATTAGAAACTGCTTAGAGTAAAAGTTACTAATTTAAAATTGATAGTTGTATTACTGTTAGTAAGACTGTTTATAAACTAAAACTTTATTTTTTGCTCTGTGAGCATTAAGAGAGCCCTTTTTTCCAATTGTAGGTTCAGTCAGGCCTTAATGGAGGTAACAGGGCCTGATATATCAGGGATTTATTACCTCTAAAAAATTCTTGAGGTTACATACCAAGATTCAAACCCAAGACTCCTAGAGCAATAGATTGACACCTCATCTACCTCAGCCATCTTAATTGTTCACTAAAATTTATTCTTTATGATCTCTGATTATATCTTTGATAGTTTGAATTACTAACCAAATTGTTGATCATTGATATGATCATTGGAATAGTTATGATAAGCTTTGCATCTGATGCAAAACTTTAGCTGTAACTAATTATTCCATGTTATCAATGATGAAAACAGGTTATTCTATAGATTAGGAAGAAAATATATTATATATATAGCATAATGAAAATATATTATGTTGTGTGAAATGTCTTAGATCTATGTTTAGAATGTTTAATTTTTATTCTGTTTTCACAATTATTAAAAACATTAGTTCTTGTAAATGTTTAATCTAATTTATAAAACATGGATGTTTAATTGTATTGAATAGCTTTCTTTTAATAATTTTGTTATAAACATGTAATAATTATTACATTTTTCAAATTATCAAAATTATTAAAAGAAAGCTATTCAATACAATTAGACAATACAATGAGTTAATATTCTATATCAATAATAATAATGTTAACTTTTGTGATATTCTATATAAAAAAATAATCATCATCTAAAATTTTCAGCTAAAAGGAAATATACCATAATGGTTTTCAAGGATGTCTTTATTATACTATTTGGTGTTGCTGGATTTCTTACTGGAACATATGCTAGTGTTGATGGGATTATCAACTGTGTCATCTTAAAACACAACTGTGAGTCAGATTAATGGAAATGTTTGGCTAGTATCACACAAACATTGTTGTTAGCACAAATTCCATAAATTATTTTAAAAAAAATTAACATGTTCATTTTAAATTTTTAAAAAAGTTAATACAAAACTTAGTAAATTTATGGTTTTATTTATAAGGACTCTACGAAGAGTTTTTATTTAAATAAGGAATGCAGATTTTACTTATTTAAAATTATATATATATACACACACATATTTTATGTATAAATGTATATATTTAAAAATCTATCTGTAATAGAAAAATTACAATATACTGTATATAAACTTAATCCTTCTGGATAGATAAAATTATTGATATATAAATTAGTATGTAATGTTGCCATGCAACTTGAGATTTTTATCATAAACCATGTGTTCTGTATCAACTAGTATATTGTTTTAAGATCTTTCTTTTTCTCACTGCCAGATGTGTAAAAGGAAGATATTTTATAATTGTAAAATTTAGTCCAAGTGCTTCCATAATGAAAAAATTCAAAATAGTTGTGCCTTAATTAAAACTTCAATATTAAAATTAAATTTAAGTTTTGACATTCCTTTAAACAGACTTATATTCAGTTTTTGTTCATATGGGACCAGATTCTGATCTGTAACATATGTATTATTTATATGATATATATAATTTGTGTATTTTCTATACTATTTTATTGTATATTTTATGAAAAGCATTATTTAAAAATGTTATTTATGCACAAAAGTATTGTTTCTTACAATTGTGATATTGAACAGTTAAAATTTAAAAGAAAATTATTTGTAACATTTTATAATTAGAATCCTGTAAACTAAATCAAAAAAATGTGTAATTATTGTATATTAATGTTTTAACAAATTGTATTTGAATCGATCTAAGAATGAAATTAAAATAAGTGAATTTTTATTTGTGCTTGCTTTTTTTAATTATCAAGTTAGAAAATCACTATTCATTTCATTAATATTTTCATTTACTTCATACAAAACATTAGATTCTATATTATACTACATTAAGTTAATATGTATATTTTTATGTAAATTTAAGTGTAAAATAAGGCAGAAAAATAAAATGTTTTTCTGAGATTAAAATATAAATATTAGTAGGAGGATTTCAATAACACAGCAAAAATTATGCAGATTTTTATGAAACATATAACTTGTTTATATATTTATATATATTATAATATANATTTATATAAAAATGTATTTTGAGATATTTTCAGACATTAATGTTGTCTGCTTTAATCTCTCAAAATAACGATGATAACCATTTTCTGATTATCTTCTTTTTAATGATAGGTTTTTTTTAAATATTCAAATAACTTTATTTCTGAAAACCAATTAATTTTGTATGGAAATTCTTGTCAATAATGGAATTTGGAATCCTTTTGGACAGTAGAATTCATACATAACTTACTTTTTGTAAATTTAATACTTTGTTCAAATCAATCAATTTTCAGTTGTAACTTCCAAGATGATAGTAACTTTTAAGTGAATTCTGAGATTTATCTATGAGTCCACACATTGAAAATAAAATCCTGTTTGTTAATTTTGTAATTCTTGTGAGTCTAATAGTATTTTAAAGCATTTTACTATCATTTAATAGTTAAGAGGAAAATAATTTTATTTCAAACTCATAATTAGGATATAAATTTGTTAGAAGAGTCAGCTGAAGTTTCCTTAAATTTAGCAAACAATATTATTTAATTTAGTACAAGGTTTTTTTTATCCTATGCATGGAAAAGATAGTAAACAAAGAAATAAATTATCAAATATATAAAGCAAACAACATAAACAATATTATGTCTTAAAACACATAAAATAAATTAAGATATGAACAACTCAATAACAAGAGGAAACTAATAAATGAAAGTGTAACATAAGTTACAGGCTGACATATTTCATATAATTCATTTTATTTTAAAAAGTGATTGAATTGACAATTTTTGAAATATTTTCCATTCCATCTTTATTATACTAAGAGTACATTCTTGTTACAAGGGTTTAAAACAATTGATTTTGGCTTTAAAATTTTCATATCTTGTTGTTCAAATGTTGATCACATATAACATTGACAATAATCTAAGATGATGCTTGATTGTATGAATAATTATTTAAAATAATTTTAAAATATGACTTTCAAACAATAAAGTAACAATAATTCTAAGTGATATTTTTAAAGGAAATTATTTTCAAAATGTTGATTTCATCTTGTTTACTTTGCTAATGTAAAAATTTTCAAAAATTACAAAATGATTAGTATATATCAATTAAAAATGAATTGTAAGCAAATTAAAATTTCTCCCTTCTTCACCAGATATCATCTTTTAAATAAACACACTATTAATGTTAATTAAATGCAAACACAAATCAATGTTTAAACAATTCTTGTAAACCTGTTCAAGCTACTGTTGTACATACACTTCAAATTTTAACATTTTAAATGAAAATTGTCCATTGTAGAATTATAGAATAAAAGCATTCAGTTTGGGATAATGTCTTCTTTATGTTTCATTTAAGAAGCAATTATCTATATACCATTGCTTGTATCAAAGAATTTTAATATAAGCTAACTTAATTGAAAATTGACATTTCTGCAATTCTTTTTCATGATAGATCTTTAATGCTGTTAGGTGGTTCTTTGTATATTTTCTCATCACTGGAGGCTGAGAACAATCTGACTCACAATTGTTTATCATCTCTGTAGATGATATGTATCTAGGCTGAACCACACACATTCTTTAAGAAAGTTTCCTGCACCTCCCTAATATCTACTATCAATGTTTAAACCAGTTATCATGATAAATTATTAAAGTAAAAATTTAGAATAGTCGAAAGAATACGTTTTGACACACAAATAAAAATCTGTCGATTATAAATTCCAGTGGGAAAATTGCATGTTTAGTTTGCTGCATGTTTCTCGCCATAGAAAAAAAATTTTACATGTTCAGGAGCATGCAACTCTGGAATAAGTGAAAGCTGAGAATTTTATCAATCTGACAAATTTTATTAGTATATACTTCTAGTATTTGATATATAATTAATTCCGTTCAAAAATAATGTATAAAATTACTACAATAATAAAAGTATAAATGGAAAATAATATAACTTTCTAATTATCCATACTTAAATTTAATGAACTTATAAAATCAATTCCGTAAATTGTGTTAATTAGCTTATAATATTTATCACAGTTGATGAATATTACAGATTAAATATTTATGAATGAATATTTTATGATTTAATGCATTAAAAAGACTGAAAAATATGAAGTTAAGCAATAAATTCATATTTACTTTTTATGTATTTTAATTTAGATTTTACGATAATTAATAAATTATTTAGGATATTTCTAAAACACGATTTAATGAATTTATTATTTTAATTTAAGACCTGGCAATGCTACTTCTGTACACTACTCAAGTGTCTCCAATACAAATTATTTACAATTACCATTTTATAATTTATCAACAGAAAAATTCTGTCAGGATTATAATCATTTGTTAATTATAATAATTTAAAACCTCAATATATTATTACATTTAATATAATATTCTTGCAATTATAAGAGATGAATGTCTTCCTCCAATATAGAAAAGCTAATTTAATAGTAATATACTGTAGAAAAGCTATTTTTGAAGTATAAGACTATCTTTATAAGAAGAAATAAAATCATTAATAATAATAATAATAATCTTGTAATATTCCTCAAACTAATCTTGAGGTTTGAGGGATATTTTTAGTGCAAACTGATCTTTTTTTCTTTTATTTTAATTAAAAGAATAAAATTACATATTTTATTCTTTAAATGCAGATTTTCTGCTTTCATTTTAGTGAAATTCATAATAAATTTTATTATGTAGGATTTTCATATTTTATAAAATGCTTTCTTTTGCATCTTTCAATTANAAATAAATATGAAATATGAGCTACAATAATTCTCATAAATTTTATTATGTAGGATTTTCATATTTTATAAAATGCTTTCTTTTGCATCTTTCAATTATGTATAAAGATATCTTACGATTTCATAAATAGTAATAAATGTCATTTGCTTAAAACATCTTTATGTGAGTTAGAATTTCTTCTACTTCTCTGGAGAAATGTAAATTATGCAATTGCATTCGTTCTTTTACAATAAAAATGCAAAAGAAACGGAAAGAAAAAATAGTATAAATTAGTTAGATAGAAGCCGATTTAAACATAAATATTTGAAAATAATTTAAAATACAATTTCGTTTCTATGATTTTATTATTTTAAAGTAAATCTAAACGCTTTCATTAAAAAATTTATTGATTTTATAAGCCAAAAAGTATTTTAAAATATAAAGTTTTCTCCTTTTTAGATCGAAAAAATACATGGAAATATCTTTGTTTTCGTCTATAAACACCAAACTTGACCAAAAGTAAGAAAGACAACGGAATGTGACGGCTGTCCGACGTGACAATTAGGCCACACGTTCCCTTCAGCCATTAAATCTTCATTTCGTCCACCCATTTTGATCGTTTGCGGTCCCCTTACAACCACTACACCTATTTTAACTCTGTCCCCATTGTCATAAAAGTGCAATGGCGACTCAATAACTTTGCCCTTCGTTCGAAAAATATTCTCGATAAGTCTGTAACTTGTACAGTAGCAAAATGATATCGCTACACGTGTCATCATTTTCGTTTTAATCAAAATTCCATAGCGTATATAACTTATTTTATATTTTACAAAAGTCAATCCCAGATTATTTTTCTTTTTAAATAAAACTTTTAATGATTATTCTTCGTAAACTTTGCATATTTCTGAAAATAATCATGTCTATGTTTTTATAAATATTATAGATAGATTTTTGTTACCATGGCTACAAAACAAATATAACAATTTTCACCTTGAATGCATAAATTAACAGGTAAATTACTATATATCGGTATAAAAATATTCTATAAAATTGTGTTGACTCGAACAGTAAGATTTCTGAACGATTTTGGATGATTCCAGGGGTTTTTTCCTTCATTTTTTTTCTTTTTTTACGTGTTATGAGTGTGGTGTTGATCAGTCACGTGATAGTGCCACACGCCACAATCTCTTTAGCCCGATATTTTATTGACAATCGATTTGTTAGAACGTTATTAAAGCACCAAACCTAAAATTCTCTCATTTAAAAATATAAAAATGAGCTGAAATAAGCTAGAATTTAGAAAGAGAATGGTCGTAAGAAGTTATTTTACTTTTATAATTCTTTATTTTAAGTCGTCGGAGAAGTTAATGAAGATTTTTGTCGTAACGATGAAATATTTCGTCGAGAAATTACCCTTTGCTACAAAATCAACAACGGATTTATTAAGAAGAGGAAAGGTTAAAACTGATAAGAATTGATCTGGAGCGCGTACATCGCTTTGCACTCAAATCGCAAATCATTTTTAGCTCCTCCCTTCCGACCAATTCCTTTTCTTGCAAGACGTTTACGAGCGAAAGGCGACTCCTCGAGCATCATCTTTTCGCCAATGGCATGGTCCCTTTTCTAGTTCTCCGACCAACCGCTTGGCATCGCCCGAATCGATTGGGGGAACCCAACAACGGTTTGGTGGCTCGCAGTTGGGTCACGTGTAGCCAGGTGCAAGTCTCCGACGCTTTTATTGTTGTCTGTACTGCAAACCGTGTCGACTTTCCTACAATAATATCTGTAATTTTCTTCGGTTATCGCCCTAATTACACGTCTTGCATTGTTATTTAAAGAAAATTGTAATCATTTGATCAAAAGTTTTTTCTTCTATAAAGTTACATTTGTTTGTTTCTGGATAATAACCGAAAATGTCATTTCTCTGCACGGTTTAGGAGTAATGCCGGTAAGCCCAACCTCCGATTGTTTTAGATTAAATTACGTTTATTTAGAACGAAATCCAACCTTTATAGTTAATTTTATTGTATTTTTATTTATAATTCTATAAATTTAAAAATATATTAATAATATTTCTCTATATTTTATTTCATATAACATTGAAGATGATCTATTTTAATATAATTAAATTTTTATTTATTTTATTCATATGTGACTTTCGATAGACTTCATATGCTTTTTAATAGCATTAACAAATAATCTCAAAGCATTAGATTATATATGACTACAGTACTTTATTAGTAAAATTTATCAACGTCTAAACCTGCTCAGAGCTGCCTCATAACAAAATAGTTACAATAATTAAGTTATAACATANCAATACAAAACAAAGAATACACTTAACAAGGATTCGTATTTCTCATTCATCCAGAACGACATCAAACGTAGAAAAGGATGTTAATTCGGATTTAAAAAGTTATTTTTTGTTGATTGATGGATAACTTTCAATAGTCTATTAAATAACCTGACCATGGTGCGGTTGTCTATGTCATTAGAACCTTGCGATTTTCGATTACTCTGCCTACCAGATGGTGAAGAGAAATAGGCGCGACTGCTAAACGAAGCCTGTTGTCCCTAGATAGTTGTTTTACCGAGGATAGGATAGGTTGAATGCAGTAGCAGCTTTTTACCTATCCCCAGTGTGTTGTTCTTCCCTGGCACGAAACGTGTAGGTAGTCCATTTTCCTGATCTACCCCGTGCCGTATTCTAAATCCTGAAATGAGAAATTGGTTTACACTATTTAAAGATTTAATGTCTCTATAGATATATAAAGCTTATTCCTCATCGCTGGATTGGTAAAATGTATTTTTTACTGTTTTTAAATTAGATAGAAAGACGTAAAGAAAGCGCGCGACTTTAATATTTAAAACACGGGACTACTCTAAAGGAAATAATTATCTTTTTAATACTAATATAAACCTGTGTTCTTTAGACTCTATTACTTAATTGCTATCAGAAATTAATGAGTTGCGGCATTTATACGTTATGGTTATTAATGGACTCACTCTGCACTGATGAACAGGGAGGAACATGCAGCTTTATATTTTCAATTGGAAACTTATCTAAAAGTTCCGGCTGTTAAATCCGGGGTAATTATAAAATAAATATGAAATATGAGCTACAATAATTCTCATAATGGTGGGAGTTATATCAAATTTTTATTTTTTACAGATTTTCCGGTCTTACTTAATTCACCCGAGTGGGTTTGTATTCAGAAAAACATTAAGCACACGCGAATGCCACACCCTACATCGATTGTAGTTCTTTCAATCGATTTTGAGTTTCTTAATACAAACTTAATTTTCTTATAATTAAGAATATCATTACAATTTTCATTGTCGAAATTTATTTAAAGATTAAGAAATGAAAAAAAACTCAGAGTCTTGTTAACTTTAAGCAAATTTATTTAGCGATTCCTGGTGCAAATGTTTGACGTATTACCGAAAAGATAATACGTAGATTTAAAAAGACACGGCGGCTATAGTATTTGAACAACAGGTTTCACTCTACATCTTTCATTATTCTGTGGAATGACACTTCACACACGTAAGCATTAATGTAAAAGTTGACATATCGCGTTTCCTTTTTATAGAGGAGAACCCATTCACAGTCTAATCTTAGTTCACCTGATACTCAGGTAAATGCGATCGATTGCCTGTCCCCACGGGCTCTCTTTCTTGGGACCCACCTGCTCGTCCCACGTATTTGATTTATGTTAGTCGTTCGTCGTCATGGAGAAATGCGTGAGTCCTTCGCACAGTTTCCATTACTTGCATATTTAAGTACAGGAAACGATCATTTAAGAGAACGAAAGGCAGTCGACAGTATCCGAGTCGTAATATCCACCATTCTTTTTTTTTTTTTCATTGATACCCACTTTAATCATCCGCGAGTCGCGAAAATAGCTCTTCGTAGATCAAAATTTTACCCTTTTTTGATATGGCAAGACTGTTTTGGTCGTGTGACTTATGCCATGTGACCGTCTACCGCTGACGTCAGAAGGGATGACACGTATTTAACCCTAACCTTCCTAAATCAATAAATCATTGTTCTGTTTGGAAAGTCTACGTCTGGAATAATTTATTGATTGGAGTAAATTTTAAAACGATAAGATTTGGAATTTATTAGAGTTTAACGAGTGAAATTTCGTTTATTCTCCGTGCGATAAGAAAAGGAATATCGCTGGAATGGCAACCGCAATAAGGATTAAAGCAACTGAATTAGATTAAAAGGTTTTTTGATCCAATTATAAGACTCTATAAGTCGCATATACTACAGCTTTAGTCAATTTTAGAACATTTTCGATGACTCACGTTACTTTTGTCACACTCTTTACAAAAGTCATAACCATCTGGGACTGTAAAACCAATTGATTTCCTTGTACACCCAATCGTTTTCATAAAGAATGTCTAGAATTTACATCATTCATTACTAATAAGGATTCTTTTCCCGTCATAAATTCTTTTATTTAGGTCATTGTTGTACATCTTACGTATTACACGTTACTATGGTGACCGTTATAGACCTACTGCTCTTATATCCTATAATACACGGACGTAATTTTATATCAGTGCAGGTGAACAATCGATAACAGGTAGAAACGGTGGAAAAACGACCTGTGTTATTCTATAAGCTAAGTAATATTATCCCGTTTGTTAATGTCAGAGTAGGGAGAGCAATTATTGAAGTGAGTTGGTAGCTTCGTTTGATGATTATCTTGATCAGCTTTCTCATCAGTAGATATCGTTTCCCCGTCTTCTTCCATTTATTTAAGATTTTTTTCCATCTTCCTCCCTCGATTTAGTCCCACGAGAATAAAACACGCATGCTCTTTAGCTGTATTTAGAAGAATCCTCACTAGATTAAAGCAGCTTCAACTTCCATTACGTCTATCTTTCTTATTTTGGAATATTTTTTACCAAATATTTAATATATTTTAGAGTATTGCGCTAAAAAGAATCGATTGGAAACTCCAAAATCTAGTCTCCTCTCGAGATCTACTTAAAAAATAATCGAGCGGCAACGTTCAACTGTGAAAGAAACCCGAGAACATCTGGCAATATGGAAATGCCTGCTACAATTGCAATTATCCAATCCCTTTGTACCAGATGGTCATATGAATTATGAAATTTTGAGTTATTGTTAAACGGTAAATTATGCAAAATTAAAAGTTTGATTTAATATATTTCAAAATTTCTAAAAAAGTCAAGTTTATTTTTAAGTACGCTACTCAAAAGGGGTTTAGAAATTATGTATTATGATAGCACACGCTCTCCGTTCTCTTTCCTAATTAAAATGTTCATCCTCTGTGTTTGCCTTATGCTACTTTAAATGTAAAATACGGCAGTTTGCATTATGCTGCGTCCTTTAGCAAACCGAGTTATTAATATCCCAGTTATTTGCTTAAGGAGAGAGTAAATCGAAAGGAATCTGCTCGGATTAACATATATACCTGGAGGAAGAGAAGGTTAAAAACGTCCCTCTACATGACGAACCATTTGTAATCGGGAGAAGCTTACATGATAATAGTGTACTGTATGATAATGTAATTCTGTTGGGCGTTGCCTAGATGATACAGGTGATTATCCAGAGTTAAAATTAAACCCGACTCGTGTAGAGAATCGAAGGAGGATAAAATTTGTGCCCGAGGTTTAAATCGAATTCGGTTTATTATTTAAAAAGTTCTTTATGTCCCGACGACGCCGAAATTAAATATTTTTTCGTACAAACAATAGAGAAAAGATGTTATTAAGTTCAGTGTACACAAAAAGTCTCCCCACTCTTCTATCCGAGGTTATATATCACCGGTAATCGAAGAGTGGACCATCCTTTCGGAGGTGGAGGGGTTGTCTTCCACCTTTTAGTACCTCACCCATCTCCCAATTCTAACACTCCGTTGCCACGGTAACGATAGTCTTTACTCTGAAAAAGCCTGTGCCTTCGGGCTATAAATTACACCACTAAGGGTGTACGGTATATCAGTTAAGACGGACAACCTCCCTCCTGTAAATGGAGACGTTTCTGGACCCAAGAAGATTTAGGATAAAAGAGTACACCCATATATTTCGGACTTAATTCTGCCAGCTACTTTAGCGAAATTTTCGATTTTTTTTCGACCGATAATCGGGCAGGAAATTCGTTTGTTTAAGATGAATTCTCCAGTTTTACGGTAGTAGATTTAACTGCTTCGCCTTTTCTTATTATCGTCAAACTTTTTTTACGAGTTTGGCCCGCGGTGAAATGGCCTTTGCCCCCAGAGACGATCTCGTTCATCCGAAAAGTAAAGCTATTCCCAGAAGGATCGTGAATGCTGGTGCGAAATAGGATGGACGACAAACACCCACTTCTGTTCTTCTTACTTTAATTAAGATAGTGTGTGCAAATGCCTCCGGACGTACGATCGAATTTAAAACTGATTAAACTGCAACTAACCGTACATTTCTGCTAGAAACACCAAAGTAATTGATAAGAGTCGACTGCACCAAACAAGTGCTGTTGTAATTCTACACGTGAATGAAAGAAGCTTCTCAGCACGAAACATAGAGTATGTCATCGCGGGTATGCTTTATGAAATTGTAGTACGACCTCCCACAGCTCTAAACAACGATAGTCCTTATCTTGGACTAATCCAGGAAATCTCTACAAGTTCCTGTCTTCTGCCAGTGACTGAAGAAACTCATAGAAAAAGGAAAAGAGTTTATTTATTTTTTTTAATCTGATAATTAATTTGTAAATGGACGTACTAAAACTTCTACTTTACGATCTTTTTGTGTGTCGTATATTTTTGTTGATCGTTAAATTGACATACAATTTTTAATTTTCCTGATTATATAACTGTAATTTTAGATTAATTTGGAACATTTTTTAATCAATTTTTCTACCAGTAAATTGCCGATTTATAAACTAACAAATTCTTATTAATTACTATAATATTAAACTCCGTAATA